CGATCACTCCCGATGGTGATCGGGAGCGATCGGGGAAGTGAGTAGGAGCGATCGGGAGAGATCACGAGCGGCCAGGAAGCGATCGGGAGTGATCGGGAGGGATCGGGAGCGATGGAGCGATCGAGAGTGATCGGGAGTGATGGGGAGCGATCGTGATCGGAAGTGAGGAATACAACCTTCCCTCAAATGCGGCGGTCAGCTGCCGTGGTAAGGAGTGATCGGGAGTGATCGGGACTGATTGGACAGGAGGATTCCCGAAGCGGCGGTCAGCTGCCGTAGTAAGGAGTGATCGGGAGCGCTCGAAAATGATCGGGAGTAGCTGCCGCGGGCACTGATCGCGATTAGTCTGGAGTGATCGGAGGTGAGCCTACGTCATGCGATCTGAGCGGGATCTGAGCGGGCGTTGGTAGCTTGATTCCGGCCGCATGCCACGGACGATCATGCAATGCCTGAAGGATCACGCACATTCAGCAGTCCATGACACTGGCATATCATATAGCACCAGCAACGCCAGAGACTGCTTGCTCGTCATCGTGGCCGGTCGCAGGACTCTCAAGCTCTCCGACAATGCCGGCCTCCGGCAGCTGTCAGCTATCAGGCTACAGTATCAGGCCAGGAGCTCTGCTTAATTCTTCGCAGGTACCTGACCAGGCTCGGTTCATGACACCAATCCTGCTCACACCAGGCGAACCCACCGGTAAACCACCTCTGGCCAAACTGCCGCCTGTCTGAGGTACACAAAAATCGGAAAATACATCGGCTGTACATGATTACTTGGACAAGTTATATTTGATATGTAGTTAGAAACCCTGAACCCTCAACCGTAAAACAACCTCAACTACACAAAGACTTATAAAGTTATAGCTTTACGAAAAGGTTAAGTCATCTGACAACTGCTTCTGTCCTCCGAAAGCTCCCTTTCTGTCACGGGAACCCAAAACTAATGCTAACACTTCCCAGGGTTTAACAAGCAAGATCCAATACCCATTGCTCACGGGATAATATCTTAGAGTATCGCACTGGCTGTTGCTTGTATTCGAATTAGCAACATGTAGCAGGGTCTTGAAAATCATAGGTCTTTGCAGGGGAAGGAAGGTAGTTGCGAGTGATCAGCATCCGTGTGCTGTGCAGATAAACATGGGATAATCTCTCAGAATATTGCATTTCCTGTTGCTTTTAATTCTGTTAATACGTGTGCAAGGTCGGAGTGCTAGGTTCAAGAGCTTGTTGTCTCGGGTTAACGTTGGTAGACGTCGAAGACTACAAGACACTGCAAAGAGTAAAATCATAGACATTTAGGGGGGTAGCATATATATATATATATGTAAATGAAAACAAACAAGTAAGTGAATGATATAAGCACATAGACAAGTACACAAAGGACTACATGTATAGGTGTATACCGGTACATGTCTGTTTGGCTGTAACACCCTTTGCTTATGTGCTCATGCATGCCTGTTATGCAGATGTAGGTCTGCAGCATGCAGATCTCATATAGTACGCCCTTCAACCTTTGCATGGTGTCAGGAATCCGAATGACCATGGCTTCACAACTCCACTGGATCTGGTCTAAGGTTTAGGTTGCAAGGTTTGCTGATCCGGGCTTTTGCTTTCGAGGTTTGCGGCCGTAATTAGGCTTTAGGCTTCCAAGGTTGAGGGCTTGGGGTGTTCAGATTTCGGGCGTGGGTCGCTTGTGTTCGGAGTTGTTGGCTTTCAGAGAAGGCGCCCGCGGTTTAAGGTTTTGGGCTTCCGCAGCAAACTCCCGGCCTCCAGTGTTCGTGCCTTCTGCCATGTGCCTGGACAGTGACACCGCATGGATGCGACAGGTTGGATCATCGTAAGTGCTGTCCTCGCGGCATGTTTCAAGTAACTGGGGTCTCTGGGCAGCAAGTGGCCCGCGCCAGAATCCAAGACTTGTCCAAGCCGGTTGTAAAATCACTGAAACAGTATTTGGCAAACATCTGTGGGGCAAGTCGCTTTAGACAACGAGTGCTCCGCCATGGCAGTATCTTGGAGGATGGCGACGGACTGGTAGAGCATGATTCTGCTGAGGCTGTTGAGCTGCAACACGTCGTGCTGCCTTTCTGCCGGACGTCTCTTGCAGATGTGCGGGAGCTGATGAACGCAATTCACCGCCGGGATGTCCCTAAAGTTGAGCAGATATTACAACGACCCCAAGATCCAAATCAGAACGAGCCAGAAAGATCGGATCATGATACCGAAAGTATCCTCGAAGATGAGGATCCTGAATGCGAGTACGAAGAGCATGCTTTCGAGCTTCTCACTTTTCTTGGTGCAGCTTGCCGCACAGGCGACAGTGATATTGTCCGCTTACTGATCGAGGCAGGTGCCAACGTGGATCGAAGCTTCGGAAACGAGGATGCGCCACAAACACCTCTTGGAATTGCATGCACCCTTGGGCACATCGAGATTGTTTGCCTCCTGCTGGAAGCAGGTGCTTACACCGCCTTGCGGATAGACGGACAGAGCCTGCTCGTTGTGGCAGCTGAACATGGGCACTGCCAGGTGGCGAGCCTTTTGGTGAAAGCCGGAGTTCTTCCCCGAGAGCTTCTTGAAAGGATGGCTCTGGTCAGACATTGCCCGGAGCTAGAGCATTTGCTGCCCCTAAGTTACCCCGAACCCTAGCTACTCGACGTCTTTGTAATCTAGAAGCTTCAAGAATCAGCAACATAATGAGTAGCACGATTCCCCATATAGTAATTACTGTGATTCTGTATCCCCCCAAAACAAACGATTCTCATGAGCAGATTCGCACGCCACAGAAACGGCTGTGAAGGGTTTACCTATAGTCTCCATGGTAGTTCGTTTTTTGGGTTTAACCCGTTCTAGATCAAGGATCCTAGAAAGTAACCCCAATAAGGAACTACAATGGAGGCTATAGGTAGGGTTTGTTGGCATCTTCGCTGGCATTTGAGGTGTGTGGTGTATATAGGGTTTAGATCCACTTACCGCGTTGTCATGTTTGAGTTACAATGATGACCGTTACCTTTTGTCCTCTTCGGGTCTTGCTTGAATATGATTTCTCACTGGTGTGAAGCAGAACTGATCAGATCACGTGTGCACGTAGTGGATTCTAGACGTAGGCTCTTCTGACGCATGGAACCGTCTTCGGATACAACTTGTGTTTCTGAAGGGCCATCATTTCCGGTATCAGACTACATTCTGAGCCCTAAACTCTAAACCCAAGGACCTAAGCCTGAAATTCCAACCCACACCCTAGACTCCGAGCCCCGACCCCAGCCTAAACCTAAGCCCCCCCAAAGCCGGCATCCCCAGCCCGAACCCAAATAACTCAGGATTTGGGAGTTTCCGAAAATGGGGGGGGTACCTTATTTTTGGGGTCCTTATAATAAGGATCCTACTATTTGGGGTACTATATTAGGGTTCCCTATTCTGGGAAACCCCCATTTAGGGTTGAGGGTTAAGGGTCTCCTTCCGGGTGTTGCCAAGTACTATAGCTCTGCGGTCAGGAGGCGACTCTTCTGCCACATGGCTGCAGAGCAGCTAATGACCGGGCACACAGGCACGAGGATTTTGGGCTTCAGAAGAGGGCCTGGAGATCTTGGGGATTTCGGGCATAGATTTGGAGTCCCTGGTCCCTGCTTTTCCTGTGTCTCTGGACGTTCAATTTGAGCCTTGTGCTGTCTGCCGAGTCGGGTCGAAGACCAGCCCGCAGCGATGAGTCCGAAATGCTCCCTGCTCGCAGCCTAGTGACCCAAGCCAGGCTTACCGCTTTCCCGCACGTAGCCATAGCTTCCAAGAAGCCATGGCAGAGCATTCTATGCCGGTGAACTTGGTCACTGCTCCAGGCCCCTTTCGCGCCCGGTCTGCGAGCACATGATTTGGCATGTCACATCACTTGCTTCGGGTTTAGGGTTTGCAATTTGGATGTGGGATGGTGATCTTAAGCCCGAGACTCCAACACATAAGCATGCCGCCGAGGTCAATCACGGGGATGGATGGCACCGGTGGCAGCCCCGGTATTCCCGGAGCACACCCCAAGCCCGCACAGAGTCATTCCTCCACCGCCAGGCCTAGAGATTCCAGAGGTGCCTGAGGCTGTTGCTGCCAACTTACGATTCGGAGTCGGCAGTTTCGGCCACCCCGACTTCTGTACCAGACCGTGCGTGCACATCTCCAAGGGTGGAGTGTGCCCATCGGGAACGGCATGTGCTTACTGCCATTTCCGGCACTGTCCGATCCAGAAGCCAGATTTGCAGCTACGCCATCGGCTCCTTGACGCAAACGACCAGGAGCTTCTCGCGACCTTCCTGCCCTTCATCTTCAAGAAGGCAGCCACGCAAGGCCTCGCGCCGCTCGTCGGCCGCTTGCTCAAGCTCCTCCAGGCAGAAATGAATGAAACCCAATCCGAGCCCATCGCCCTGGGTAGGTTTCGGCCGATGAGGATGTCGTTCATGCGCCTCGGCTGGGGGTTTACGGCTTAGTGTGTAAAAATCGCTCAAATCTTCTATATCGAAGTCTTGAAGAAGTCAAAGTCATTACAGTATATCAACATGTACCAACGAAGGTGAGGGTCGTGCAGTAGCATGTCTTCCATGAAAGCTCGCAGCCGTGCTCATAGCAGAGCAGGTGACAAGATAAACCCTAAATCCTAAATCCTTAAAATTAGACACAGTTATACTTGAGACGGTAAGAGCAGTGGCAGAGCACTGCACTTAGTCTTCAACATGATGGGGAAGACCGGGTCAGATTGCATCCCAAACCAAGGCATCTCGTTTTGAGCAGCATGCGTCGGCTACCTCCACATATCCGAGCCGAAGTAAACCGTATCAAGTCGGAGCTCCCTCCTCCTGCTGTCATGCTTCCAGGTTGCAGTATGCAGGCCTCTTTGTAACTAAAGCATTCATCCTTACGACTTCGCAGCAGTCTCACAAGGAGGACTTTTCTGTCTCTCTTTTGTGTGCTTGGTTGTCTCTGTTTCTTCTCCGTTTTCAATCTCTCTCTTTCTCTCTCTGGCTCTCTCTCTCTCTCTCTCTCTCTGTCTCTCTCTCTCTCTCTCTGTGTCTCTCTCTCTCTCTTACAGTCTCTCTCACTCTCTCTTACTGTCTCTCTCTCTCTCTGTCTTTCCCTCTCTCTCTCTTTCAATAAGGCTCAAGGTATCTATCAGTTTCTCACCACACTTCGGGCGATTGAATCGTCTTGTATTCATCCGAAGAATGCTCTGCAAAGGCATGGCGGAATGGGACCATCTCTCATGCTGTAGACGAACTGAGCTGATGCAGCATCGGGCTATGAGGGCGGGATACCATCTGGGGGGCAGCTGAAGGGTTGAGGGTTGAGGGATGTTGATGTCTTAGGGAGTGAGGGAAGATGTGGATACTGGTTACATGCTACATGCAAAGCCCAAGTCGGAGAATAGCTTCGAGATGCCTTCAGGCTGTGTCATTGATTGTGCCTCTCAGGTACTA